CCCGGCGGGGCGCACGTGGCCGCGCCCGGGAGCTGCCAACGGGTTTCTTGCCTCGCACGACCGCCCCAGGGACTGTCGCCGAGTCCCTAGTTCAAAAGCTGCTCCGGAGAAGTAGTTCCGCGCAGTTTTCGCGCGCCGTGGGCTTGCAACAGCCCGGTAGCTCGCAACGCCTCGAGGCTTGCAACGCCCCGGTAGTGGGCAGGGCCTCCTTGATTTCCTCCGCACCCCTCGACTCCTATGCCACGCGGGGCTTTGTATCTGAGACGCTGGCAGGCCGGAAGCCCCCTCCCAGGCCCCTGACTCAGGGAAATGAGCAGAAAGGGTGTAGCACAATTAAATGCCACCCACCCCCCGAATGGGGGTGGGGGGAGACCCCAGAGCTCAGGTGCTCTGGCTTTTCTTGGGAATCCCTAGTGCAGGAAAATAGGGCGTTTCCCTAGGGAAATGGCTAATTCAAATCCTAGCGACCACGTGCCAGCAGTATGACCTTGTGCCTCATCTCCATCTCCAAAATGGGGAAAATAATCATCCTTCTGAAGTTGCTTTGAAAATTCAAAAATTAACTTACAAAAAGCACAAAACTCAGTGCCTGGCACTTAAGAGCAGTATTGGATTGGAAACTACTAAAACCAACCCTGAGTTGTGCCCATTTCCCCATCTTAAAAGATTCTTGGATATCAAGAACAAGTAGTACATTTCTCTTTCTGCCCTCCTCCAAGAAAGCTTGCCAAATTGACTTGAACAGTGGACTCCCGGCCCTCTGCCCCTCAGGGGTTGGAGAGTCTCATAGGGTGGGGGTGCCAGATGAGATAAAAGACTAAGTCTAGCCAGAGGGGGGCGGGGGATGGGACAGGGCCCTAGACAAAGCTAGAAGGGAGGGTGGGGGTGGAGATGAGCGTGTTCAGGAAGATAAGGCTTTCAGCTCCTCCAAGACAGGTCTGGTTTAAATGCAAACACAAAATGGGTTATCAGGACTGCCCCTTGGAAAGGAAGTTTACTAAAACAAAAAACCAGGGAAGCCCAGGAGCAGGAAGTCCTAGGATTAGTCTGGGGGATGAGAATAGAGAATAAAATAGGGAGGCAGTGTGTCAATGAGAAGTTGCTCTGCACCTACTGTGCTCCAGGCAGGCACACCCTGGAGAGGCAGGGGGAGGGACTCTGTTTAGCAAGGGTCAGCAGCCTCCCAGGTGTCCCAGCTTTAGGAGAGGAGACAAAGTTCCTGTGGGCAGAGGGACCCCAGAAAGCCGAGGAGGTGCACAGGTGCCTGGTCCACTAAGCCTGGGCCATGGGAGCCTCCTGGCATGCTCCCAGGACTCGGTCCTTCGTGTGGAGTTACCGAAAGAAAGAGGGCATTAACTCCTAGCAGGAAGGGTGGCCTTGGAAGGAAAGGTAGGTGGCTGGGGACAGAAGGTGATGGAAAGGAGCCCGGCTTTTTATGTCTATTAGCGCTGTGCTTTACTAAGCATCAACCGCAGAGCTCCTGAGTGTGCACCTCACCTTGGTGAATTTTACCTATGTCTACAACCTTGTAAGTCCCATCCAGATCTAAATGTGACCTCCCAGAGAGTGCTCCTCACAAGCACCAGTTCCCACCTGAGTTGACTCCAACCCGTGGAGAAGCAGCAGCATGTGTCAGAGGACTTATGGAGGACCCGTGCCCCAGGTTAGCTCTATACTACGTAGAGACTGAATTTTAGGAAGTAGATTGCCTTTCTTCCAAGATGCCTCTGAGTAGACTCGAACTTCCAACCTTCTGCTTAAATAGCCAAACCCATTAACCATTTGCACCATCCAGGGACTCTTGCCACCACCAACAATGAAAATAACTCAAATCGGCTGTCTTCAAGTCAATTCCAACTCATAGCAACCCCATAGGACAGAGTAGAATTGCTTCTCAGGATTTGATGAATCTATAAATCTTTAAGGGAACAGACGGCCCTATCTTTCTCCCTCAGAGTGACTAGTAGGTTTAAACAACTGACCTTGCAGTTAATAGTCCAATGTTAACCCACTGTGTCACCAGGCTCCTTCTCTCACAAAAAAGCAAAGTAGCCAAGCCCATTGCCACTGAGGCAATCCCGACATAGAGACTGCAGATATTTATGGGACTAGCTAGTGGATTCAAAACACCAACCTGTGGTTATCAGCCCAATGCCTAGCTCACAGAGACAATAGGGATTCTCCACCCACTAGGGAACCACTATTTCACTTGAAATTAATTCTGCCTGTCTATGGGCTTTGTACAATGCATCATATCCTTATGTACTCTTTGTGTCTGGCTGGGCATTCATCCACATTGTTGCCTTTTTCAGTATAGTTTTGATTGTTTACTTAAATGTATACGAGGAAATGGTATGGAAGCCACGAGTGACCTCCTCCTGCTTCAAAAGAACCCAACTCCATACCAGCCCGAGGCTGATGACCAAAAGGTGGAGGTCAGACATGCCTTCACCCTCCAACTGCTTTTACCTTCCGTACTCTCACCCCCATCCTCTGAAATCTCTCTACTTCTTTGCTACCTTTGATAATCTGATAATCCATTTCAAACATCATACAGAATTTCTAGATAATGCTCATGATATAGGAGTTTATTAGGGAAGCTAACAGGTTACAATCAGCAAGATTAGAATCATTAAGAATACAGTTCTTTTGCCCAAAGTGCCACTTCTTTACTGTGGGTTTCCAAGACCGTAACTCTTTACCGGAATAGGAAGCCTCATCTTTCTCTGAGAAACAGCTAGTGAATTCAAACTGTTGACCCTGACAGTGAACAGCCCAACACGTAACCAAAGAAATTTAAAAAAAAAAAAAAGATTTTTTAGGAAAAAGTTCTAGGATAGAGAACTAATTTCTACTATGAACATCATGTCGCTAGTTGTGAAAGTAGAGGCTCTAGTTTTGTTTGGATGGAGGTGGATAGACCTTGGAAATATCGTTGTTGCCCTCCACATTCCTCAGCCCTCAGCCCTACACAGTGGTCTGAGCGGCTTAAAGACAAAGGAGCAGAGTGAAACTGAAATGGACTTGGAGTCTTGCGACCAACAAGGTCACGTCAAACAATAACACACACACACACAAGAAAATAATACTTTAAAATCTATCAAGGGGTCACAAGGGTGGGTGTGGGGAGGGATGGAAAAATGAGGAGCTGATACCAATGGCTCAATAGAAAGTAAATGTCTAGAAAAGAATCATGGTAACATATGTACAAATATGTCTGATGCAATCAGTTTATGGATTGTAATAAGAGTTGTAAGAACCCCATTAAAATGATCTTTACTATATATATATGTATATGTATGTATGTATATATATATATATATATATATATATATATATATAGAGAGAGAGAGAGAGAGAGAGAGAGAGAGAGAGAGAGAGAGAGCTTTAAGGGGAGCAGGACAGGACCAGTGTGACTCTGGCACATATTGAAATTTTAGAGTGATGACGTGTTAGTTTGGGAGAAAGAAAGGGCATTCTTCTCCCATAAAGAGTTGTCTCAGAAACCCACAGGGCCAGTTCTACTCTGTCCTATAGAGTCACCATGAGCCAAAATCAACTCAAACGCAGTGAGTTTTTAGTTGAAAGCCCCTTTGAGTTTCTGCGACTGTAAATCTTTCTTTCTTTCTTTCTTTCTTTTTAGGGGACTGTAAATATTTACAGGAACAGAAAGTCTCATCATTCTCCCTCGAAGCCAATGGTGAGTTTGAACCATTGACCTTGTGGGTTAGCAGCTCAATTAATAGTCCACTATGCCACCAGGGCTCCTAAGGTCATGCTAGGATATCAATAGGGTGGCTATGAGTTGGAACAGACTCAATGGCAGTGAGAGCTATAATGGAAATACCACAAGTGGGTGGTTCTAACAAGCAGAAATTTACTTCCTGAGAGTTTAGGAGGCTGGACGTCTGAAATCAGAGTGCAGGCTCTCTGGGAAGGACTTCTTTCTGTGCAGGCTCTGGGGGAAGGTTCTACATCCTTTTCAGCACCTGTTCTTTGGCTCATTGGAGACTCAAAACGTTTGGAGACGCAATACCAGGCAATAACACTGCCTGATTAACAAGGAAGACCCATTGATTCCCAACCCAACTTACTGTGAACTTAAAGCTTGGTGGTTTGAATGTACCAGGGAAAGATGAGGCAGTCTACTTCCAAGGAAGGAGGGTGTCCCTGTAGCTGGTGAGGGAGGGCTTCCCTAAAACACTGAAGGTTACCTAGTATACAAGCAGAGAAGCATGTACTGGGGTTTGGCGCTTGGGAGCAGCTGAAACAGGCAGCAGGGTCCACAGACCTGGGAGAGTAGAGACTGGAACCGAGTGCTGGCAAGTTCCTGCAGGACAAGTTAACCCTAGGAGAGGGGTCTTTATCCTGAGTGCTAAAGGTGCCACTGATGGGCTTGCCAAGAACATCTGTCTGCCGGGGCTGACTGGCCATTGTCTGCCTTCATGAACACGTGGGCTGAGGCTTTGGGGCCGGGAGGTAAGTGAGGAGACCTCTAGAATGGCCTGGACACTGACAGGAATGGCAGTTTGGGTGGGTGTCCTGTCCTCCTGTCACCCAAGAAAGAAGTGAAAGCTATAAGTGTGTGCCAAAGGAGGGGCTTAGAATATTATCAACCCAGCCTTTCCATTTGCAAGTGCAAATTTCCGGGCAGAAAACCCTGGATTACCAGCTAGGACTGGGACTTTGAACTTTAGCAATACTGGATAACCAGTGAGAGAAGAAAGCCTTTCCCCAAATACCTCGGGGGGTGCCCTCACCGCACCCACGTTAGATCTCCTCATGGTTTGCATCCCAAACTGGCTAAGTTGGATGAAGTTTTCACTCATTTTCAGTGAAGTTAGAAAAATAATGAAAAAGTATATGTCTACTTAGACCCATGTCCCAGTAAATTGCCCCTGATTGATTCTTTCCTTCTGCATTTTCATTCTGGCTTATATCTTTCCAATTATTTGTTTTTCTTGGAGAAGGGAGTTGGAATCAACTCAGTGGCAGTGAGTTTGAATTTCTGAAGCGTCCGAAAGTTCTGTGACAGCTGTAAGGCAGCTTCTAAAGCCAGTGTGCTTGCCGTAGGACAGGAGGGGGAAACAGTGTCCATAGAAACAACCAGTGGCTTCGAAGCCACTTTCAAGGGATACCAAACCCACGTGTGTCAGAGTAGCACCTTGCTTCCCAGGCTCCTCCAGGGCTGACTGTTTGGAAGTGATCTCTAGACCTTGCTCCCAAACTGCCTCTGGGTAGACTCAAACCTCAGCCTTTCAGTTAGCAGCCGAGTGCATTAGCCTTTCACAGCACCCAGGGATGTCAGAATGCCGATGAACCACTCAAGAAGGACTGATGCTAAGAATGTGCACATTCCTATCCGCATTGCCAAGATGGAATAACGGACTTTTGCAATGAATGTCCTTTGAGAGATTTAAGAAAGCCACATTGTTTCCTGGAGCAGCTAACTACCTGGAGTATTTTAGGAACCAGGGAGCACCTGGCTCTGAGCGTCTCCAGCTTGTGCTGGTATTGTGGGAACATCTGGAGAGGGATGCTGAAAAAAAGGATTTATTTGCTCAAGAAGTATCCATGGAATCAGAGAGAGGTGGGGCATCCTGTCTATCTGGGTTTCAAACTTAACCAAAATTTTGCAACCGGTTGCAATGGCATCTATGCACAGGAGTAACAAAGATGGGAAGTATTATCAATCTGCTCTTTCTAGAGTTTAAAATAACACAAGTCAAAATTGTCTGGGCAATACCTCACACCATTTACAAGAAAAAATGAATTCCAAATGGCTCATAGTCCTAAATGTATAACTGAAAGCTATACAATTTCTAGCAGGATGCCTCATAGAAAATCTTTGTGACCCTGGATATGGCGAAGATGTCTTAGGCGTGATACAAAGAACATGAACCCTAAATGAAAATGTTGATAGATAAACAATCTGGAGGAGAAAGCAATGGGACCGACAGTTCCAGTGGGGTGGGGG